ACCATCTGTAAGAGGCTCCTAAACTCATTGGAAGATATTCATCACCTCGATCTAATCGAAGGGTCTCGATACTCTTATTTAATTGCTTCTCAATTTTGATGTGAAACTCCTTGAATATCTCCAATTTTTCATACTTGCGAGGCATCAGGTATACGTTTCCATATCTAGAATAATCGCTGGTAAAAATGATGAATACTCGTAACCTCTCCTAGATTGTGTACTAATGGATCCATACACATTGGAAAGTACTAATTCCCAAACTCATTGTAGTCTATGCCCCTTGAAAGTAACTGGACTATTAATCATCTTATCCTCTAACGATTCTAAACCTGGTAAGTAGAACCCACTTCTAACCTATTTAAAGATGCATCCCTTTCTACTCCTGGAATTATAATAAGATAAGTATGACTAAGCCCCTTATGGGGTGGTCGAGTTGGTAGAGTAGGTTAGCGCGGAGGTCTTTGATCACGAGTTTGATTCTCCCTACCAATACTTTTTCGATTGAGCCTGTCGCACAGGACTTGCTTAGTGTGGTTTACTTGCTGACGAGCTACGGGTTCCCCGATCATATAAAAATAAAAAAAATTATGACTAAGCCTAAGATCTTAGTCATTTTACCTTCTAAATAAGATTCGTAAGTCCGTATAGATTCCACCTCTAAACCAGTTAAAGGTCCATTTCCTACTAGTCTGTGAATCTTATTTTGATAAATATAACATAAACTAAAATCTCACAAAAGAGTTTCATTAGCATTAGACAACCTTTTGTTCTTATCACTTGCAGTAATATAATGCTAAGAGCCATCCTCATGAATTTAAGATTGTTAACCAAGTGTCCCTCATCACTAAGAGCATTATCCAACTTAATTTTTAATGGATAATTGGAAAAATTAAGAACCAAATAACCATGCTCGAATGCATAGTTATCAGAACCGACGCGTTCATCGCCCGGAAAAATCATTTGGTCACTGGGTTATGGATCAACCAGTGGGTCATTGTCAGGTCGTAATTTAAATTATAAAATATTTTTTAAAATGGAGGACAACAATCTTCCTAAATATAAAATATATACGTATTAGTTCACTATTGTAACACAAGTTCAGATGCAGCCATAATGGTTATATATGTGATATTTTACTTCAAATGCCAAGGTTTGAATCTCTGTCTTTGCACATTGAAGAAAAATTTTGTAACTAACTTTGTCATAAATCGGTTCACCCTTGAGCCGGTTCCAAGTTCATTTAAACCCGTTTGATTCGACCATGATATTGGATGGTTCAACTGATCTTTGACCGGTTCACTTGCTAAATATACCAATTATAGCAACTGGACTGGATCACAATCTGGTTTGTTGGTTTCTCTGCTGATCCGATTTTAATAACTATGCTCGAATGATAGTCTAAAGACAAAATAACATTTTATAAGCGTATTTTATACACTTATCTAGTTATGTACCCGATAACCATCCTCGAATTATAGTTTAAAGATAGATTATCAATTGATAAATTTATATTTTACACTTATTTAGTCAATTAAATTACAATATATTGGACAAGTTCTAATAAATTATAATCTAATCTCATGTATTTATCATTTGTTATTAACAACTCAACGATTGAAAATGAAATGGGAAGATAGAAATCGAGGAAGCAAGGACTCAATTGAACGGAGGAAGAAAGCTGAGGATCAAAGAGCAAAAATTGGAGAAATAGTTACCTCATGTTCGCGCATCAGGTAAAATTGACATGCTTGCAAGAGCAAAAAACTGCAAACTCAAGCCTAAATTGGACGAAATCTAGACAGTGGACGACTGCTTTCTTTTTTCGACAAAGCTCCTTTGGAACTCAATTTGGATGCGTTTCTTGACATAATTTTGACGGCTATATATACGAGGCAAGGGCAAAACATTGAGGGATCTCTTACTCGTCATACCACATCATCTCATAAAATCTATTAAGAAGGGAGGGACAAATTCATCATAAATTGAAGAGGATATACAATAAATCTAGCACGTGCATTGAATCAAGAAATATCGAGAACTTGAAAAATCAAATCTTGGAATTGAAGATCAAGAATAAGAATTAGATTTCACACATCTTTCTTGTACTTATAAATACCGGATGATGCTTGTCCATTTTTCTTAATGTTTTATCATTAGAATCATGTTAAGAAAGATTTTCTTTTGTGTTGGATGAAGAAGGACCTTATCTTTATTTTTATTTTTTTAAAAATCAAATACCAAGTAGTTTAGCAAATTTGCATTCTTGATTGATCTTGTGTGCTTTGTTTAATTCTTTAATTATTTGATTACCAATTAGGTAATTAGTTGTTTATTGTAGTATTGTGAGACTCAAAAGAGGTTTAAAACATTGCAAGTTCAACATACGGACAATATATATTAGGAATAACATGTATGACGTGAGCAATGTTATTGATAATCATGTAATTGAACGAGTTACTTTTCATATGAATTGATTAGGAATAAAATCGGATCGTACTTATAATATGTTTAACTTACTTCGAGAGAGATAGTTAAATAAAACTGGACTATCGATTGTCATGAATACACAACTTATATTAAATTACATAGATTGAGAATTAAAATATGATAATAATAGTTGGATTTGAAATTCCAATACATACATCTCATATTTTAGTTTATAATCATATTAGTTAATTTGTAGATAATTTAGACATAATAAATATAATTCTCTTTTGTTAGTTGCATTCGAATTCAAAAACGGATTGATGAAATTCAATTCAACTCACTACATTATTATTTGTCAACAATCCTATCCGCTTGCGAGTTCGCATGAACATCAATCATAAAAAGTTCTGTGAATGCCAACAGATAAAAGATCAACTTTTACCGATATTACTGCACGTGTATTTATCCCTAAAGTATACTCCCTTTCATTGAGTTAATTAGTTATTACAGGATCTACAATCCAGGTATTAACTTCTAATCCCAACATAATGAATGAAATCTGACTCTACTATGAAGTCTTTTGGATTAGGCAACATCTTTATTAATCTTATGTATGCCTATTGGAAAAGGAATAGATAGCCCACCGCTCATAATTTTAACTTCACCATCCTTGGCTTCAATATTAATCGCAATGCGAACAATCATATTTTACCATATGGTCTACCACAAAGCGTGCCCGATACTCATATGGAGATACATTAATTACAACCTCTTTTCAACTTTAACATAAATTCTTCCATCACGTAAAAATGATTATTCAATTTTGATGTTTTCACTGTGGAGCTAGGGATGACAATCGGGCTCGTAGGCTCAAGCCACCTGTGACTAGGTTCGAAAAAAGCTCGAGCCCACCCCGTTCGAGACTCGAGAGAACTAAGCCGAAACTTGAGTCGAGCCCCATTTTGAGATGTCGGGCAAAGCCCAAGCCGGCTTGAGCTCACAAGACTATATTTAAAAAAAAAAAAAATACAAGAAAAAAAATTTAAAGGCAACAAGGCAGCGTTCTGATACCTTAATATTAAATTTTTTTTTTTACCAAAATTGAGCCGGTCCGGTCCTGCCCAGTTTGGTTCGGGCCCCAAAAAAACTCGATTATTTTAATCAAGCTGAGATCGAGCCTCAAATTTCGACTCACGAATCAGCTCAACTCGTTGACATCCCTATTCAGAGCACTTATCGTAAAATAAAAAAATTAGAAGGTGACCATCTCATCAAAACAGTATCATTTTTCATGAAGTCTTGCGATCGTAATTGGGAATTGGACAAGCAGTACGTACATAGCACGTAATTATGTTTTTATGTGGTAAGAATAACGTCAAAAATAAGAAAGGAATGATGTTGCAACACGGGAAGTAAAGAATATAGAATATTTGCATTTCTTGTGCATAAATAAAGCATTTTGTTTGTTACTGGGTTATTAGAAGTTGTAGTGAATGGAAATCTAAAAGTTTGAGGCGCCTATCAAACCAAAAACAGGCCACACGATCAGTGGGACCCATTTCGCCAACTTGGCCACTAAATTCTGTTGTGACTTCACTCCCCGCTGCCGTGCCCACTCTCTGTGCTTTGTTATGTGGCCAACTTGATTTTGTTCCTCTCTCGTCTTCTATCATAATTGTGAAAAATAAATACGGAACAGCTCATTAATTGTTTAAATATAATTGAATGGTCTTTAATTTTGTAAATCTGCTAACTGATTTATAGATAGAAGGAAAACTAATTTCTTAATTGTAATTTATATTTTCCAAGTATGGACAAGTGAGGATTATATTTGTATTGAGCTTTTTCTCCATTTTAAAAAATTCTCGGTATTGCCTAATGTATAGTCTTGGTCCGAGTCCGATTCAGAGTCCAAGTCCGACTCGTTATCCACTCGCGACAGCTATCGATTATTTTCTTGATAAACTATTGCATCACTAAATAGCTATTTGCATGAATAATGTAGTAAAAGTAAATTATTTTAACTTAAATATCAAAGATACTTTGTCCAATGCATGAAAAATGCAGAAAAAGTATCAAGCTTTTTAACAGTGTCTTACATACCACTTTTGTACCTAGGAATCTCAATCCCAGCCCGTTCGTCATTTAAATAAAAAAAATTAAAAAATTTGTTAGCTAACTTGACTCAATGAAGTCTAAGCCAAAAGCTCAAGTCAAGCATCAAAACTTTGACTGCGTTTTGACTCGGCTCGAGCAAAACAAACATTTTTTTGGTCAGGTTGCTCTCGAGCTACGAACTTTAACTCTCGACCTGGCTAGTTGAAATGCCTAGTCCCTGTACAACAAAAATAAATTATCTCATCCTCTCGTACCAACTACAAATTATTTCCTCAATTAACTATTTTGTCACCAAGTAGCTAGCCACTAATATTGTAAAAAAAGTAAACTAGAAATCAAAGATACTATGTCCATATGCGTGAAAAACACAGCAAAAATAGAGTAGCTCGACTTGCAAATTGTAGATAAGTAAACAAAGAGTCTTTTAAAAAAAATTTCATACCTCTCCTAATTCTTTTTAGCTAATACACGTGAAAACCGAAAAACCTGTCGACATAACTACACGTGAACCATCTTCAGCTGCATTCACACCACGGCACCACCACAAAATTTTTAGAAAAGTTCACAATCCTTCATGCATAATGTGATACAACAGTAACACAATATATATACCATTATACAACCGCTCTCTCTTTCTCTGGCTGTTTTATCTTTTGTTTTAACTTCTCTCTCATTTTTCGATGCTTTCTTCAATGGCGAATACTCATTTTCTCATTTTGACAGTTCTATTGTGTCTTCTTTCGGTACAGTTCTGTAAAGTTTCATCAGGGGCTTTGGCTATTTGGAAGAATCACCAGAAGCACCCCTACCATAGACGCCCAATGCTTTCATCTAATCAAAGTTCATGCTCATTGTTTACGGGCACCTGGGTTCGTGACGAAACTTATCCACTGTACCAATCTTCATGTCAAATCATAGACCCAGAGTTCAATTGCCAAATGTACGGCAGACCCGACACTGATTACCTCAAGTACCGATGGCAACCAACCAATTGCAAAATCCCGAGATTTAACGGCCTTGATTTTGCGATAAAAATGAGAGGGAAAACTGTGATGTTCGTGGGTGATTCACTTGGGATTAATCAGTGGCAGTCGTTGATTTGCATGATATCAGCTGGGATTCCTGCTGGTTCACCGACACAAACTATCAGAGGAGATCCTCTCTCTACAGTCAAGTTCCTGGTAAACTTGCAGTTCTATACAATTACCATTTGATAAACCAAATCCCCCATGGTATTTATCTGTTTATTAAAATGCAGGAGTATGGTGTCACGGTGTCGTTTTACCGAGCTCCATACCTTGTAGATATTGATATTATACAAGGTAAACGAGTGCTCAAATTAGAAGACATGAGAGAGAATGCTAAAGCTTGGAGAGGTGTAGACGTGTTGTCGTTTAACACGGGTCATTGGTGGAGTCACAAGGGATCTCTTCAAGGGTAAAGTAACAGACATGACTCCACAGTATTTTATAAATTTTATTTGCTCTTGTTTCGTGAAATTAAAATTAAATTTTTTTGGTGAAATATGTGGTTGACAAATTATGAATCTCATAAAACATGTCATTAAAATTAATTATTGACTTTGATTTAAAATAATTTGAATCAAATGGGGGCTTACGTTTTGTTTAATTCTGTGTATCGGACATTTTCTTGCTTGCAGGTGGGATTATATGGAATCAGAAGGGAGATTTTACCAAGATATGGATAGATTGGTTGCCTTAGAGAAAGGGCTAAGAACTTGGGGAAGATGGGTTGATAGCAACATTGATACCAGAGTGACAAAAGTTTTCTTTCAGTGTATTTCTCCCACACATTACAAGTATGTAATTTTATCAGTGCCCCACCTTCTCTTCTGCATCTTTATTTATTATTATTATTATTTGGGTTCGGCTACACGTATACAGGGGTGTACACTCCGGTGTACATGCTTCTCACATGAGAGGTTGGCCGGAAGCATTTAATGGGCGTGGGGCCCCTTCCCATGTGAGAGGCGTGTCCCATGTGAGGCGCGTGTACACCGGAGTGTACACCTCGTGTACAAATGGTTTTTTCCTTATTATTTAGTTATTTTTATTTTTTCTACATTATTGGGCGCTGAATTGAATCATTCTCTCAAATTATTGTTCCTTGAGTGCAAGTTTTATATATTCTCTACCGTGTCTGTACTTGACTTATTAAGGAAGAACAAAATTTCATAGAGCAGTTGCTAAACATGGGATGAAAAAAATTCCTTAATTGCCTTGTCTAAACTTTTCAATTTTAAAATGAAAAGTTTACCCAAAGCAACTAACCGAGCCAGGCTCCATTAATTGGCTGCTGGAAGACAGCTGTAATCTCACGGTTGCTGGTGCAGCTTATGCAAAGACGGGGCCTAGTTTGGGTTCAATTATTGAAATATGGTCCGAGTCAGACTGCCCACAAAACATTATTTGTCATTCAATCATTTAAAAGACAATTCATTAAGGTTTCAAAGCAACCAAAATTGGTTTAAGCATACATAAATGGTGTCACATGGCCCATACCAACCCTGCACAATGTTGACTCCACGGTCAACATTTTTTAGACAGTTAGATTACACTTTATGATATATTTGATAAGATAGAGTGAATAATACTCTACGATCTATTAATAACATTGACTCGATTGGCAGCCCGAGTGAATGGAATGGAGGGGCTACAACAACCTCAAAGAGCTGTTACGGTGAGACGACACCAATGAGTGTCCGCGGCGGCCTTGCCTACCTAGGGGGATATTCAGATCAAATGAGGCTGTTGGAAACAGTTGTAAGAGACATGAAGAACCCTCCCTTTCTACTTGACATTACATTGCTTTCAGAAATGAGAAAAGATGCACATCCCTCAATCTACAGTGGAGATCTCACCCCAGGACAAAGGGCTAATCCCGACCATTCAGCTGATTGTAGCCATTGGTGTCTTCCTGGATTGCCAGATACTTGGAACCAAATTTTCTACACCGCTTTATTCTACTTACATTAGTGCATGTTTCGTACATAGAACGTATAGGACAATAAAATGGACAATACTGTCTAACACTTCTTACTAAAATGTCATTAATGTAGTAGTGTTCTTACCCCAGCCTCCCACCCCATTAAACCTATTCTACATTTATAGTTGTGTTGCTATATATATAGGTATTGTTCTTAGTCCATTCAAGAAGAGGATGCAACTTCCCTCTTCACTATATACAGTGTTAGAGATTACAACTGGTGATTTATTTGGTTTGAAACCTTCAGAGGATGTAATGTAAAAAATGCAGTTATATGTAATTTTTTTCTGAACTATCTCTGTTTGGCAAAGCTTAAAGAATTTACTTGTGTGTAAAAAATGCAGTTATATGTAATTTTCTTTTTGAACTATTTCATGTTTGGCAAAGGTTGAAAAATCAAAGGTTGAAAAATGTACTTATGAGTAAATAATTAATTAAGTTTTTAAATTAAATTTGAAAGTAATTTGTTTCACCGTTGAGTAAGAAAATATAAAGTATCCAAAAATATTTGAAAACAAAATTTTAGATAAAGTAAGTCAATAATTTTTTTAATAAAAGTTTTCTAAAAGTTTTTTAATTTTATTTAAAAGACTAGAATGTTAGAGGTCTAATCAACAGCCAAACGAGTAAAATGTTAGAAGAGAAAATTACCTCAAGCATTATATTTAAAGTTTTAATTTAAAAAATCAAGTACAATTACCTTTTTTCCCCCAAAAATCAAAATATCATTTCTCTCCCCCTTCTCTCTCTTGAAGAAGCTCAAAGACCCCCTAGTATGAAAATATTATTCTGGGATCGAGTCGTCATAGGATGAGTGTGTGGGGCAGTTGGAGGGGGCACAGAATTAGTAGGCATGAACTCAGATGATGGTTCACCAGGAGCAGGAACAGGAGATAATGTAGTAGGTGGGATAGAACCAGCGGGGACAGCATCTGAGATAGGTGAGATTGGAACTTGAGATGAGCAAGAATTACATGGAAAAATAAACGACATAGAAGATGATAATGGTAAAAGACTTGATTTGGCAAGATGATGTAGAACTTTGGAGGAAGGATGTCCAAGACAATTGTGCCAAGTTGTGATGCTTGCTTTGACCCTAACCAGCACACATGGTTTTGAAGTTTAACTTTGTCCATGCCTTGGTCATTCATAAACACGATGTTTATTTGGGCCTTGAAGAAGATGTGCCCCCATCTTGAGATCCTTAACAACAAAATGAGATGGAAAGAATTCACTAGATGAATTGTTTGATTTGCAAAATTTTGAGACAGATGTTAAATTCTTTTGAATTGAAGGAACACAAAGAACATTAGATAGCAAAAAATGTTTAGAATTATAAGAAAGATGAGTAGAACCCGTGTATGTTATGGTGACCCTAGAACCATCTCCAATAAGAACATCATCATTACCTTCGTATCCTTGGTGAAGAGAGAGATCGTCAAGATCAGCAGTAACATGATAACCCAACTGGAGTTCGAATCTTTCATGGATGTGTGATTGACAACTGGTTGAGATGAGAGCTTGTCTTTGAGCATACGACATTGTCGAGCAGAACGTTCACGCTCTTCACAGATTTGGCAAGTGACCACTGGACCACTGGTTGATTTCTTCTGTAGTTGTTGTTCTGACTTCGATTTGAATTTTGATTTTGATGATGGCCATGATTAGGATTTGGATTGCACTGTTGGAAGTTACTACCTCTGTAGTTCTGATAAGGAACTCTGTTGTTGTTATTGGTATATCCATTTCTTGTAAAATTAGCTGTAATGGGAGATAATTCAGGTCGAGTTCCCTCACGCTTGACAGCTTCTTCTTGCTCAACCAGCTTATCATGGAGTTCCTCAAAGGAGATTGGGTTTTCACGAGCACAAACAGCAGCTGCAATTTCTTTGAATTCTGGACCAAGACCATTGAGGGAAAAAAATGATCAAGTCATCTTCTGCAAGTGGAGCATTAATTAGAGAGAGCTCATCAATAATATACTTAATAGTTTGAAGATATTCAGACACGGATTTGGATCCCTTTGTCATCAGATAGAGGCGTTCCTTCAGATGCATGATTCGAGAACGAGCTCGATTAGCGTAGAGTCTTTCTACACGAGACCAAGCTTCTTGTGAGGTAGCAGAGAAAGCAATTAGTGGCATGACAGGTTCAAACAAGGAGGCCATGATCGCATGGAATAAGAGCTGATCTTGGCGCTTCCATTGAAGAAAAACAGGATTTGGAGCAGGTGCATTATTCTGTAGAATAGTTTCAGGTGGACTGGGTCTGGTGCCATCTATAAATCCCAAAAGATCATAGCTAAATAGAAGAGAATTTAATTGTGCTCTCCAGGATGGGTAGTTGTTCGGTGAAAGTTGGGCTACAGTGTTAATGGCTACAAGAAATTGTGCAGGGGGATTGCCATTGATTGTCGCCGGGATTTGGTTATTTTCGGCCATAAGGAAGAAGGAGAAAAATGTTTGCTCGTGGGAGCTTTAAGGCTCTGATACCATAAAGAGATCAACACTTTATACAAAAAATGGTATTTGAATGTAATCCGATACATATTTCTTTACAAAGATGATGCTATTTATATATAGTATAGGAACACATACGATTGAAGGATAAGAAGAAGATGTAATTGAAAAACAGAGCTTGACTAATCTAATACACTGGTAAGGTTATCAGGTAGTTGGAGCAATCTGATGAAGTGATAACGTTAGCAGGTGTTTGGAGCCTTATCTGCATAAACATTCAAAATCTGATTTGGAGAATCTCTAACAGTTAGCAATGAATCCTATCAAAGCAACCATGACTGAGTAGGGCTATAGTGGAGACGAGATAGCCTAGGTAACATAGTGGATGTAGATCTTCTAGAAGAGCCACTCAGTGTAGAACCATAATTGTAATCGACATGTCGCCACGTAAGTTTGGTGATGACGAAGCCATAGTTGGTGGTTTTGGTTTCGGTTGTGCTGGTGGTATTTTTGGTTACTTCTTTGAAAGGAGTAAAAATCTTCCCTCTACTCTCTTTACTATTTTCTATTGCTCTATCGTCGCCAATCGGCTAAACACAACGATGGCAGTAGATTTGCCTGCTATGAGGTAGGGTATTGTGAACATCTGATTTTTGAAAATATTTCATCAAGTTTTTTAAATTTGAAAGAATAGTAGTTATGTACTTTTCCATCGTTACAATTCCAACACAGTTCAAAACTGTGAAATCTCACCGAGTACATTGTTTTTTATTTAAATTCATATTTTACTTTTAAACTTTATTTATATCGAAAAAAATACAAATTTTTTTATAGTATAATAATTGAAAGGTACATCTCTCATCAATTAATATAATCATTGACCTCAATCCCTCCGTCAAGCATGCCCCAAATAATCCACTTAAGTTGCCAAAAGAAAACCAACCACAGTCTTTTTATTTACAAAAAAAATAAAAAATAAAAAAAATTCCTAAAATTGCCCATTATCTTGAATCGTTAGAAGAAATCTATAACATTTGTAGCTTTATTCAAATCACAATCTTATTTTCTACATGAAATTGTGCCAAAAAATCGACATCCATACTTCAATCAAGCGGGTTTTGAATTTTTATTTTGTTCGTGTAATTCATAATAGAGGTGAAGACACTTGCATCGAACTGGTATGAACAATCCAAAAGTTCTTGATTTGCACATTATGAGATATGCACTAGTCCATTACTGCAACAAGACATGAGCTGGTAGAAAATATATCGTAACTAGAATAAAATACAGTTACATAGATCCAACAAGACAAAAGGTAGAAGATATATCATAAATGGATTGTAAATACAGTCACATATATGAATTCGTGAGTGTTGGTGCTACAAGAATTGGTAATTTAAAAAAAAAACCCATCACCGTATTTTTAATCACATGTAAAACAATACAGCACATCACTATAATGAATAAATAGTAAAATCCTAAATTTTTCAACTGATGAATAGCATAAATTATTCAGAGATGGATAAGTGGGATGATCATACAAATTCAACTTATAGTTCCGTGTGCAACTAAATGAAAAAGTGTTGGTCCCATTGCGTAAAAACTTTGTTTGAATTGTTTACAAAAACACAAAGTATAGAATTTATAAAATAAGAACTCAGAAGATTTTTCACCCGTAAAGGATCCGGATGTTTAGTCACAAAGATCTCGTCACCCATTGAGCATCGACTAAGGGAATGGGATCTAGATCCACTAAAATCACCAGGAAATCGTACAAATGTATGATTTCTTCAAGTTCTCTCTAGCATCGCTTTTTACAAATTTGGTAACCAAAATCTGTCACGCAATTGTACTAAACAGCCCTCAATACTCAACAATACAGAGATTACGTAACAAAGATGAAAAATTACCAATTTCAGATAAAACTTTGCTTACACAGAGAAAGAACATTCGGGAGAAAAAGAAAAATAAAAAGTCTCTTATCATAGATGGAGTGTCCAAGAGTAAAAACACCCAGACGAATCGACACAAACCAAAGGGTTGCAAGTGAGCCACGTGTACGGTAGAAAGCAGCCCTTAAGTTGAGGCATAAGTCGTGCAACCAAAGAACGCGTTTAATCAACTAGGCCGGGTAATATACAATTTAATTAGCCCAAAACTAAAGAAATAGTGAGGCAGCTCAACTCATAACAAAAAGTTATATAGACATTATAGAGTTTATATGCTCATGTCAGTTCAATTTCAACTACTGATATAAGTTTGTATAATTAAAAGTTTTAGCAAATGGATTGTGGACAAAATGAAGCTCATGATATTTTACAAAATCCGTATTCAATATCAAACTCCCCAATAAATTGATTTGTAAAAACAGAAATAAAGTGAATTATTTATGGCATTAGCATAGGATGTGTTAGAAATTGATACAATTACATGTAATCTCTATAAAAGACAAATGTGAAATATAATTCTGATGTATAAAATTTTGAGATTTTACTGCAATCTCTCTTGAACAATCGACGATTTATACAATTTTACACTCATTAATATTTTTGACAAGCTATCTAAAGTGTAGATCTTTTTCTCATTTCACAAGATCGTAATAGTTGATAATCTTTCTTGGGACGAGCACGAGCTTAAATTTAAGAGTGTTGATGAATGTGAGATTGCACACTTATTGAGCTTAAGTTTAATAGTGTTGATGAATGTGAGATTGCACACTTATTTAATACTTAAATAAGCTGATTAGTGATTAAATTGAGCGAATTCTTATTTACAATTGTGCATTTATTGCTTTTATAGGCAAAAATCTCAAATTGAAGTAGAACAAAGCTAAAGGAAGGAAAACGGACTAAAAGCATACA